CAGGAAGCATCTTCTCTTCCTTTCTGTCATAAATTACAATATACACATTGAAACCTAAACAGCTGCATCCCAAAATCTCTTAGTCTTCAGTTTTAGCAGGACTGGCTGTTTTCCAATTAATGATTCTCCTTCTTACACCAAGTTAATGAACCCTGTGGGAACACACCTATGAAAGGACATGGATGGGAACCCTGCACTGTCATTCTGTGATTCAATGTTTGAAAAGAGCATCCTGATGGTCTAACCAGTTTGGACAGACTCCTTGAAATACCAGCATCTCCATTCCCAAGTTTTCCTGGCTTTGGACATGGTTGTGATGATGGTTGCACAGTTGTTTCTTCTTCCACTCATTCACTATCACACCTGTGCCCTGCATTATGCCACAGCCTGCCTCTTTTTGTCTCACTCCAGAAAACAGGTACCTGATTCTCCTTGATCTTACAATGTTGTAAATCAGAAATCAGGCATCCCAGAGGTCTCCTGCACTCCTCTGTGCTGCTGAGAGACCAGTCTGTAGAGTGGCAATATTTTCTGGCTTAGCTCATGCCTTTTCTGCAAATCCTACTAGGCAGGGGGCTAAAGATGCTTTTTGCCTGTGCCTGGAACAGGAATGTGGCTGAGATTCTCAGTGGTTATTTCAAGCAACGCATGCTAATGACCAGCCATTCAACAGTACTGACCATTCACTGATCCTACATAGGACCTCCAAGAATGTGTGTTAATCCAGACTGAGTAATTTAGGCTCAGTTTAGCTCTAGAGAAGTCCTGAACATGGCAGGTGCCTTGATGATGAAGACATTACATTACATGTGCATGAAATCCAGACATGCACCTGCAGAGGAAGATCCCACTGGTTACACACAAGAGGCTGGTGAGCTGTGGGGTTAGAGACCAGCCCCAAGGCTTTGCTCCTCTTCAGTCTTACCCTGATCTCTAGATTGGCTTCAGATGTGAAGTGTGAATATTACTTTCAGAAGTGTTATCATTAATTGTTCTGACACTAAGTAGTCTTAATAACCACATGGCTTTACAATCACTCATTAAACTTTAGTTCCTTGTCTTGCTGATGTCCTGCAGCAAGGAGCTCCACAGTCTAATTACATATCACATGGAAATGTATGCCCTAATATCCATCGTAAATTGTCTTCCCTTCCAATTTCCTTGAAGGTCTTCATGTTCTCATATTAAGGAGTTGGTGTCCCAAAAGTCTAGAGGGAACTTTGGTGGGAAAGATAGTCTATTTTCAAGCATTTCTATCAAATACTGAGCTAAGTCCAAGCCTGCAAGCAAAATAGTCCACAGACTGTTCTCTCTGATCCTCCTTATCCAACCAAATCTATCTGCACTGACTTTTCAAATCTCCATCCTTACAGCATCTTTCCTCAGAACAGAGAAATAGAGAAATGCAGACTGAAACTGATAGGTAAGAAAAGATGTACACACACTCTAGCTGACAATCTAACAAGCAATCCTTGAAACATATGGATTTCCAAATTATCTCAGTTTTATTTAAGAACGCTTTTCTATTTATTTTCAGCACAGCTAGCATAACTTCTGAGATCCCAAACTCCACAGTACTGCTAACTCCTTGTGACATGGGCAAACAGTTTATCCGCTGATGTGAAGGGACTTTTCACCCATGTTTTTTCCTGCTCATCTCCACAACTTGCTCTCAGCTTGGAATCATACCAAATACTGTGAAACATTTGTGAGAGCAGAGCTCATCTTCGTTTCTTTCTCTTGCAGAATATTGTCAGAGATCCAGGAAAGCCGATAAAATTCTGCAAACACTTAGCACTACCCAAAACAGAAGAAAATACTCCAGCATTTTTCTTTCTTGCCTTCTCTCCAGAGCTTTGCCGTTCAATCCAGAGCCTCAGAATTTCCTGACACAACGGTGCCGGATGTTCAGTCATTGAAACCTTTGAAAATGCCAAGCGAGTCCCCGAAAGGCAATGCCATTACCAAGTGCAGAGTTCAGTCTCTCAGCTTTCATGATGTTAAGCTCTCATTTTCAGCGAAAGCAATTGCCTTTTTCAGCTGCCAGACCTGAGAAGAGCTTGCTGGTCATGCCCTCAAATGGGAGCCCAGATGCTGTGATCCCCCGATCACCAGATCCACTCTTTCTTGTCTGCAACCTGCGTTTCTCTTGAGTAACGTGCAAGGATCAGAACAGTTTCACAATAATGAGCTTTCCTCCTTCCTACAGTCCTCAGCACATTTTTAAATGAAAGAATCAGCTTACCCATAAGAGCCACAAACAGACACGAGGAGCTTAAGATATAAGCAATTCAGTAGCCTGAAGTATCATGCATATTGGGCAATCATAAATTTAAAGTGAAAATCCCTACTGATTTTGTTTTGCATTATATATTAAGTAAAACCTATTGCAAAGCCAGATTACTAAGAAACCTTTTTGACTGTTGTTTTGGTTAGGTTTTTTTATATCGAAACAGGATTAAAACTTCTTTAGGAGACTCACTGTCATTTTATCTGGGTAAATAAGCTTAGGGTACCTAACAGTCAATTTATAATGATGGCTTTTGTTCTTGGTACTGTGATGCAGCCCCGCAAATTTGCCCACAGCTGCAGCAGTTTTAGATGGTTTTGACAGGTAAATAAAACACTGTTTATATCTGTCATTGTCATTAATCTACAGAGTAAAGAACTAGCAATTATATTTTGTTTCCAAGCAGATAAATTTTCATGATGATCTTGGCAGAGGTGGTAGAGAGTAATGTGCATCTATGACTTTTATAGTTGTGAAAGTCCAAAACATGAAGAGTCTTTGCTCAGCTGTTGAGCTGGAAAACAAATGGGAAACAAAGACTAAACCAGTAATAACCACCGTAATAACAAAGAAAAGGAATTTGGGATTTAGCCCCATTGGATTTTTATTGACATAAGGGCCAAGTAAACCAAAGTAGAGGTCTTGACATCATCTGCACCAATTCAGCACTCAGTTATTCTGAAACATACTTCCAGGAATCTGTGTCAGGATCTGGGGATCTGGCTGTGCTTTAAAACCTCATGATTTGGGCCTCCATAATGTGCTTCCCAGCTGCTGCAGGGCAAAGGGTTTCAGATACTCCTCAAGCTATGCTGGTGAAGAAAAAATTATTTACAGAATAAGGTAAAGCTCAAGGACGAGTGGCAGAATCCAGCCATAAGTGTCTTATTATATTGGTCAGAAACTGTGAGAAGCAAAAAAAAGAGAAATCCTGGTGAAACTCTATTGATGCCAGTCACGTCTGCCCAGCTTTTCACTCAGGTAGGCTGGCAGATGGTCAGCAAATAGTCTCACTTTTACAATGCAACCTACACTGGTTTTCAGTGTGAAAACTAGCATCCAATTATTTTCAAGCATTAATGTTCTCCAAGGAAGAGAGCTACCTTTATTTTAATTCTGCTTAGGTTCTATTTGCTCTGACACGTAAGCCAATCTTGCAGGTGCTACGTCTCATGTACACAGGCAGAATGGCAAGCCAGGGAAGAGTACTAGAAATGTGGAATAATGTAAATTCTCAGAGAGTGAATTGCATGGCTTCCAACTTTTAGAAGAGACATGAAGAAGACAAATAAGTGAGAAAGGCATACGATATCTCCAAAAAAGAATCATTTTCCCCATCCCCCATCTAAAATCCTATGATCAAAACTGTCTCACAGCGTAAACCATTAGAGATGGCTACTGAGAACCGAGCTGTGACCTATGGGACCCTTGGTATGACACATCCAGCAGGGCTGTGGATATTGGGATGGGTTGGTGGCAGGCCCTGCTTCTCCCAAAGAAGAATGGAAGCCTATTCTGCACCTTCCAGCCCCCATCACCACCATCCTTGAACCAGCATAAGGGAAGGCACGATCACTGCATTACAGATGTAAGTAGCTCTGGGAAAGGCAGGATGTGTGTCAGAGCGTGGCCACTCTCAGATGAGAACTAGCTTTCCTTAGCACAGCACATAGGTCCGTGAAGGGGAAAGACATGGGGCAAACCCCATTCAAGGTTTCAATGTATTACCTTACATGCCAGAATCTGTGCCCAAAATGGAAATAGTATCAGTATAGTCAAATATCTTAACCCTTTCCCATGCAAAGATCCCCTATTAAGACAGTTAATGGGACTATCCCAAGCAGTAAAGGTTATCAGCATATATGGGCTTGATCCCACAGAGGTCTGCAGCCTTCCTTGTCACCTGCAAGCCACGTCATGTTAGGTACAAATGTTGCTGGGTACATCACTATAAGGAAGTTGCCAGCCTGAAAATGCACGAGCTGCTTTTAATTGTCATTAAATATGGAGAATAATGCCCTAAGGTGGCATCTTATGTTCTAGCACAGTTGCATTTGTTTCATTCTCCTGTGTGGTGTAGGGAAACTTCATTGGCCTAACAAGCACCTCAAGGCTCAAGCTTCAACAGCTACAGTTGTAACCAGACGGTTTTCTCCTCCAGCTAGTGCAACTGGGAGCATGGGAGCAGTGGAGCACCTGCAGAGCTCCTACTAGCCGTCCCCTGGGAACCACTGAAGTGGAGCTGTCTCCTGCCACATGTCTTTGTAGAGACTGAAGCTGTATTTTTAAAAGCAAACAGCACATTAAACTCGTCCTTTGCATCACTTCTGGTATCATTGCAACTGGGCACCCACAAAGCAAGGAAAAGTCTCCCTTGCTGAGCTCCACTGTGCTTCAAGAAGGCGTCAGCACGTCCCTCCCATGCCACAGCTGTACAGCTCTGAGGCTGGGCATGGGCTCCCGGGGCAGGACGGCCGGGCAGCAGAGAGGGATGGAGCAGGCCTCCACCCCACGCTTCCCGGGGAAACACTACCGAGGTGCAAAATCCTAAAGCCCAGGGCCTGGGCAGAAGGCAGAGGCTCCATGGCTTTCGGGTCCTGCTCCGGGCACCAGTGACATCCCTGCAAGCATCAGGCCCCACGTCCTGCAGGCTGGGGCATCGCTGCCATCGGTCCCCCCGCCCCGGCGCCCACCGCCCGCGGCCGCTCACCTGCTCGGGCCCCTGGAAGCAGATCCTGCAGAGCGGGGTGCGGATGCCGCTGTCGACGCTGCTGCCCAGCGAGTATCGGTCCTCGGCCTTGCCCTTGCCGAAGTCATCCGAGGAGGTGCTGCTGGGCAGGGAGGCGGGCGGCTCCCCGGCGGGGCTGCCCCACTCCTCGGCGGCCGGGCTGCCCGCGCCGCCGCCGCCGCCCGCCGCCGCCCGCCAGCCGGGCCCGCGCCCCCCGGGCGGAGCGGCCCCCGCCGCCGCCTCTGCGCCGCCGGGCATGGGGAGCGGCGGCGGCGGGGAGGGCGGCGGCGGCGCGGGGGGTCTCCGCAGCAGGAAGACCTTCAGGTCATTGAAGAGCATGCGGCAGCGGCACTTGAGGAGGCCTTGGTTTCGCAACATCTGTCTCGGACGGAGGAGCCCGCAGCAGCAGTAGCAGAAAATGCCCGCGCCGGGTGGTATTAACATGTGCCTTTCCTTGGCAGGCGGGCACGGGGGGGAAAAGAAAAAGGGCAGGAGCCGGGCGCCCCGCGGCCGGGGGGCTCCGCGGCGGCCGCAGTGCCCGGGGGGGCTGCGCTGGTCGCCGGGGAAGGGACAAAAGCAGAGCCGGAGGGCGAGGGGGCGGAATCCCCGGCAGCCCGCTGCAACCCGGCGGGGATAGCCACTGAAAGAAAAATCCACACCGGAAAAAAACCCGACTCTGTGCTGCTCGGGGACCCTTTGCTCCCCTCCACAAGTTTGCTTAGAAATCAGCGGGAGGAGGAGGAAATAAATCTCCCACGCCCGAGGGTCCAGGGGCGCAGGCAGCGGGCTCGGGAGAAAAGCCCCCGATCAGCTCTCGCAACTCCTAAGCCTTTAAAAAGGAAGGGTCCACGTCTCCAGTGGGTGTGGGGAGGAGGGAGAATATGGTTCTCTCGACAGTATTTGGCATCTCAAGTAATTTTCCTTTTTCTTCTATTTTGTAATTTTTTTTAATTAAAAAATAAAACCTGATCACACGAATCCTGGTGTGAACCCAGACAAAATAGCAGCTGGTCTGGCTATCAAAATGCAAAATTGGTAGCTGTTGTTATTATCAAAATTGCTTCTTTGACAAAAAAGACCTTCACATTGTTTGTGGGAAAACACCCTACGTTTCCAACACTGTACTCCCAGGTGGCTTCAGATTTTACCGTTGCCTTTAAAAGATTTCATTGTAAATATTAAAAGTCCTGAAAGAAATAATTAGCATTCAATGAGCTTAATCCCAGAGGTACTGAGACAAATATATTTTTATATATATAATATATATATCATATATATTTTATATATATTTATATATTCTGACCTTCTCTATTCCAGCAGCTGTCTGGACCACACAAAAAAAAAAAAAAAATCAGAGCGAAATTGGTGAGGGAAGGCGGCTGTATTATTCCCTAAGCTGTTACCATCCTGGACCAAAAAACCCCGTCGAAATCGAATCTATTCTTCGCATGTAATTGACCGGGGAAACGTGGATCTTACATGGTCACGTTTCCTTTCCTCCTTTCACAAAACAGGAACGTCATCAAACGCATTGGCAGCTTGTACAGACCATTGTGGATGGCGAGGCGGCCAGGACTCTATCAGCAATTGCAGGAACCTCCTTTTGATGCATTGGACGAGGCTCCTTCTTTCTCTCCACCACCGTCCCCACCTTCATTTTCCTCCCCTTCTGTCCTCCTCCTCTGACTGTTGCTCTCTCTCACAGGCATTGACATTCAACCATCGCAAGTCTGTCGCACTCTCGCTGTCAGGAAAAAAAAAATCGGAGCAGATAATTCTCTTCTTCCTCCTAAAAGGCTAGGATAAAGCACAATGCGCCAGACACATGGGGCAGCATGGCTTATTTTTCGTGCGGCTCCTACCGCTTTGGCAACATCGAGCTGGTGTGTGCGTGTGTGCCTTCCTCTCTCAGCAGCAGCCTCCTCTCCGCTCTCCCATCCGGCTTGCCGTGATGATGTTGCTGTTGCTACCTCCCTTGGATGCAATGGGGAAGGCAGATTGTTTGCAGTGCGAGCGGGGATTTGCAGGAAGGGAGGGGTGGAACGTGGCCGCGCTCTCCTCCCTCCCCGGCTCAAAAAAAAAAAAAAAAAAAAAAAAAAAAAAAAAAAAAAAAAAAAAAAAAAAAAAAAAAAAGGAAAGAAGAAGCAAAAAGGCGGGGTGAGGAGGGGGAGAATCAAGGAATCAAGGGAGGAATGGGGCCCTTCCCAACCTTTGATGCCCCGGGCTGTCGGCTGCCTGCGAGAGCCCACGCCGGGGAGGAAGGGGAGGAGGGGCGGGGGAAGGGGCTGGGCGGGCGCTGCGGCTTCAGCACCACGGGGCGCGGACAGCTCCGCCGGGCGGGGCGCGGCGTCTCCGCGCTGCGCTGCGCCTCCGGCCCGCTCCCCGCCCGCCCCCCGCCCGCGGCGGCCCCGGAGTCCCGCACCGGCCCCGCCGAGCGCGGCACTGCGGGACGCGGCCCCGCCGCCTCGGGGGAGCCGGAAGGCAGCGAAGCCTCTGCGCCCCGGCGTGTTCCAGGCTGGTTTCCACCTCCCTCCGACCGCTGCGTGGACCTGTGAAACACGGGAACTTCCAGGGGCAGGTGGCAGCGGCCGCGCGTTCAGTGATGTATCGGGCAGCGGTGCCGGCTTTGCAGGTTCCCAGCAGGAAGCCGAAATGCCACCAACAAACTTTTCCCTGGCAGATTAATTAGTTACAGAGGATTTCATGGTCTAATAGCTATGATATTGTTTTTTCATTTTACTCCAGCAGCGTTTACTCACTGATAATTTGAGGTTTTTTTCAGTAGCATATATTGCAGTAGAAATATGGGTTCCTTGTAGCCCAATGAAGGGTAAATATGACTGAACACTATTGCTTAATTAGAAGAGTTTTGCTGCAAGTAACGAATTGATGCCAAGGCCGATAATTTTTACTCTCTCAGCCTGCTTGAAAATTTTAAGTAGCAGCTGCTGAAGGCCATTAGCTTTTCCCTGCAATCATCAGCAGAAGAGGCTTTCTCCACATTGTCCTCCTATATGTGTCCATGCAGACCCATCCAGCCTCTGAATAAAAGGGGAAACTTAGGTCTTCACTGGGACTTCATATTTGCCATCCCAGGCAGAACAGTTGACAAAGGTGCTGGGTTTGATGTGGACCAAAAGTACTCAATGATAAAGAAGATCTGAAGGCTTCTAGTCCATGCAGTATGGCTAATGTCAGTGCAATGTCTCAGCTCAGGGACCAGTGAACACTCTCTAGATGGGATGCACCTCTTGGTGCCCAGGTTTGACATCATGTCAACACCTTGAAACTTCAGGCTCCTTAATTTGGTTTCTCCATAGGATTTCCTTAAACTTCTGCTTCAGGAGGCCATAGCAGGTACCAATGCCCAGTCTGAGTTCTTTAGCTGGTCTTGTGCATGAGGTCTTCAATGGCAATGACCTAAGCATTACCACCGATACATAATCTCATGTCTTAAAAGTTGTGCTGGGCCCTAGACAATGATTTGAAATTGTTTCCCATAGAAAAAGACATGATATGCATAGACCACTGTGTCATGATTAGCAGAGGAATCTATGTTGTTACCTAATTAAAAAGGGAGCAAAACTGATTATTCACTACAGGAAAATGAAAACAGCACATGCAATTAATTTCCAGGAAATAAATTACACATTGGGATGCTCTAAAACATTCATCAATGCAGCCTGCCATTCCTCAGAAAAACTGGGCAGATTTGCCAGTGTGTCTCTCTACAACATATTTAAAGCTTCTCAGAATTTCACACGTGTCTAATGGGGTCATTAGAGAAATAATAATGGAAAGAGCTTTTTAGAGACTTCCTGAGCATGCGACAGGCTGGCTAGAGGCCAAGTCTCTGTGTCCATGCTCCCACTAACCACCTCATCCCTGCTTTTTATTGCTCCCATCTTCTTGTCTTGATGTCACTAACATTTTCAGAATGGTTCCATCAATAACAGAATTGGAGAAAAATATATTGTTGTCATCCTTTTCTTGTGTAAAGTATCTTCCATCCTTCCCTCCTGCCCATGCTTGGTTTTACAAAAAGGATATGCTCAGAGTAGAAGAGATCTTTGTGTTACACTCTGGGTTTAATGTATGGGTTGTGTGCCCAGACAGCTGAATGGCTGATAAGTGTGACAAAATAAATAAAACAAATAATAAAACAGGGGTGCTCCATATGCTTCCCAGAGGTGAGTGGGTACTATTATTCCTGCTTCAGTAAATGGGCCAGCTGCCAATGTTTTCACACTTGGATGCAGCATTCAGGTCCCTTGGTATGGATCAAGGCACCTTGCTTAAAATGCTCTCACTGGAAGGAGCTGGCCCTAGACACTTTAGCAACATCCCAGTGAGAGTCAGGGGCTGTCAGGAGGCCAATGCAGCCTTCCTAAATTTGCTCCACAAGAAGCAATGTGCAGCAAATAATGGGCAACACCTTCTCCTTTTGCAGAAGGGCCTGTTTCTGGGAGTTTTGATGCTGTGTCTCTTGACCCCACTAACAGGCAAGAGGTTAACATAGGAAAGAAACATACAGGAGACATCATCTCTGACACTACCTCTGTCCTCCTCAGGTACAGAAAGAGGAACAAAAAGACATAGATTGATCAGCTAAGAGTGGAGAACTGGTTCCTCTTGGTTGGTTACATTCAAGCTACTGACTGAGAAATCAGAAGGGGAGATGCCCAGGCATCTCAGCACAGACCTGCAGGCCTGTTTGTTTTGGAAGGATTCAGGTGTCAGGCTGCAGGTTGGTCTCACAGCAGACATTCTAATGCCGCTTTCTAGAGCAGAGTGTGGGCCCACTGGCCCTCAGCTACCGCCTCAACAAGGAGGAAAAAAACCTCTCTGTACAAGTCATCACTCAGAGCAGAGGGAGTGGAGGAAGGAAGAAAGAGGGTGGCTAGAGCTGCAGCAACACTTGATCCGCCTATGTGGCAGCCTGATATAAGATCATATCAGCGATTTTTTTTTTATTTTAATGTTGTTAGGTCACGGATTTAAAAAAATGGCAGAGATAGTGAGAGGGCAAATGCAAGCAGGAAAGCACTGTGTGGACTGCAGCAGAACAGCTTGAACACAGCATACTGCTCATTGTGCACAAGTATGTGATAGACAGACAATATAAATGCTGATTTGGACAGTGAGGACCAGGGAGTCAGAAAGCTGCCAGAGAAACATTCCTTTCTGTTTTCCATCTCTCAGGAAGTAAACAGTTACCTAAACCCATTTTCTTGCCCACCTACTCGGTCAATAGCTGCACTGCGCCTCCTGCTCCACTTACAGCTCCTTAATGGTGCAGAGGAGCTTTGATTGCCGTGGCGTGGGCCCTATCCCTCTGGCAAACCATTACTTAAATCCAACACATCGAAGGTTCCTACTGCTCTCTCACTGATGGGGAGCTGCTCATCAGCTGAGTACCCTCTGATTGCTTGTCGCAGCCAGACTTCCTAGTTCTTTTTCCCGGATGGAGATATTAAATAAATCTCAAGTGATGTAATTACCATAACTCAGTTGAGGAAGCTTGTGGGCAGATGGAGCAAGGTGCTGGAGGGAGCTCTGTCACATTTTCTTTGGTCTTTCTTTCTGGGCAGTTGCAAATGTGCTGGTGCAAAGGATATTGCTGCTGGGAAGCCAGGATGATCAGGTGGGGGTTATGCAATCCTCCCAGCGTTCAGAAATAATCCTTGTATTGATTGGAATGATCTTCTCAAAGGACATCAGAAATAATTTCTGGAGTGTTGTGCCTTGGTATATCTGTTGCCTTGGACTTTTGCCTTGGAGCACAAATCATGGCACTCTGCACATGGGGAGTTCCTGTGCTACTGCTTTTTCCCCAAGCAAAGACTTGAACATCCACTCACTCTCTTCCTGCAAGAATCATGATCTGTCTCTGAGTTGACAGAGAGCAAATTTTTCTACTTCCATGGCAGCTTGCTCTCTACAAAGGGAAGAAAAGGATTGGTTCTTTTTTGAAAAATCAGGCATGTCCAGCAACAGGAGCCAAAGCAAAGCAGTACAATTGCACATCTCTTTAATTGTGTTCAGGAAGAAATTCAGGTCTTTGTTTTACTGAACCTTCTCTACAAGCAGGCTTGAGGCTAGTCAATGTGCAGGAGAATGTGAGTAAGAGGATACTATTGCTTATGAGGACAGCCCCCACCTTTCCTCCTTTAGTCACTGGATTTAAAATTCAAACTTGCAATGCCACAGCAATTCTCTTCAGGACTAGACAACCCTAAACATGGAGCTTTCCTGGTAACAAGTCCTACACTACCTCCTACAAAAGGAATTCCTTCTCCCCTTGGATGACTAGTCAGAACTGTGACTGGAATAGAGCAGCTGCAATAGATGGTGTGTTTCAGGATATCTTCAGAAGGCATTTAGCCAAATGTTGAGTGGTTTTAACTATCCAGGAATGTAGTAGTTGTCATGAAATCCCAAACCTAAAAGGACCTGGAAATTAGGCATTAAAAAAAAAAAAGAGAGAGAAAGTATATACTCATATATCCCTTGGATATTTCCACTATTCTCCTAAGTCAAGTCAAATTTGTTTCAAGTCTCTAATTGCATTCGCAGATGTATGTTATTTTAGCGACATGCAACAGCCCTAGAACTAGCTCTCACTTGTCTGACAGGGGATTTAAAGAAAAAACAATGTTGTTAAACAAGCCCAGTAGGGGCTGATCCTGAGGGATATGCCGTGCTTTCCAAATCCAGGTGAATGGAAAGGATGTGTGTCATCAGGCATTTGCTTAGTTACAAGGATTCATGATGAGACACAGTAACACTGAGGATTTCCCTTAGGACCATCATGTGGCACAACACTGCCATACTCAACTTCAGAAAAAAGGAGCAATTTTGTATGGGAAGATTGAACGTCTGTCCTCAGAAGGACCCATTCCTGGTATAAAGGGGGTCATGTGTGGTGACATCATGCCAGGATGTCCAGGATATGAATCCTGTGAATCCTGTGATAAGCTGAGATCCCTCTTGAGCTAAAATTCTGCTTCAGTATAATAAATATATTGGACATTTGAGACTGCTTACCCAAAT